CTGAGATTACAGTAGGTGTGTTAGGCACATGTTCAAAACTCGGTAATGTTTTACTCGTTGCTCACTTTTGTGTAATAAAGGTAGTGGCTTCCTTCCCTGCCCCCAAAAAGGCATTTTATGAGATGTTCTTTTCTGCCCCTTGCAATGCAAATCTACTGCTGCTGTTTCTCCTGTATCTTTAAGGTATTTTTAAGCTACGGATTCTGAATGAGACTTTCTTTTGCTGCTCAGCTGTGTTCTTTCTGATGTTCAGTTAGTCCTGGTTGGGGTAAATAAAACCTCTTCTTCACTATGTTTTTGACCTTGACATCTGTCCGAATTCTAGATAATCTGGGCCTATCTGCTGCTGAAAAAAGGCAGTTTTGTCCGTACCTGCTTCTTGAAGCAGCTAAAATGCTTCTATAGCTGTATGGTGAAATAGAGCAGGGCATGGATTTGTCTGAAAACTAAGTCACCAGAAAAAAAATGCTGCTTTTTAAGTCCATTATTGTTTTTTTTTTTTTTTAGAGTATGATTTGCATGCGAAGGCTAAAGGCAGGAGCTGGAAGGTGGTGTGCTGCTTCCAGATCTCAGGGTTCCCTAGGATGGCATCCAAAGCTTGCAGATGTCAACACAGAAGACTAAAATGACACTGCATTTTTGCCTGGTCTTGGCATAAGCAAACAGCATGAGATTATTGCTTATAGCACATGGGGTTTTTTTCCCAGCATCTTTGAAAGTTTCTTGGTATGTGTGTACAGGCTAAAATTATTTGTTCATATAAATTATCAAAGGAGAGGCTGGTAACGTGGTGGGAAGACAAAGGCTGCTCAGATTGCTATTAATAAATTCTGGCCATAAAAGTGATTCGGAATGCAATATTGAAGATGATGAGTAGTTACTCACAAGGTTAGAGTTGATTCTTAAACAACTGAAACAATTAATGTTTAGTTTTAACTTTATAATTACTGATCTGTTGAGGATACATAGGTTTTGTAGAATAGGTTTGGGTTTGGTCCTCTAAGGTTGTGGGGTTTTGGTGGTTGTTTTGGTTGGTGGGGTTTTTTTTCCCTTGTTAGTGTTTCTGCTGGCGATGGAAGTAGTGCTACATAAAAGCAGTCCTTTTTTCTAAGCAGCATTAGTGGCAGTATTTTGAATTTTGAAAGGATTATTATTTAATCACTTTAAAGTGCTTTGTTGAACTCACTATGCATATGCTGAGTATTACATACTTGACTCTCTTTATTCTGGCATAAGAATGATCGTACCATAGATAAGGAGAGGTGAATAAGTTCTTTGGGGCTTTAGTTTCTGTCCCTGAAATACATGTTTAATTGCGTGCATTGGCTAGAATCTTCCTGGAAAAAAATGACAAAAACAACAAAAAAAAATTTTCAGAAGTAGAAATTCTTGTCATTAATTTTGGTGGTTTTGATTCAAAAAGCTTATGCCGAAACAAGCTAGGAAAGGTATTACACTAACTAAGCAGACCTGTGTTTAAAACTGGGTATGGAATTAGGAAATCTTGCATTTGCTGCCCTTGTTCACTGGATGAGAAGTCCTTCAGAGTTACTCTATTTATTTAAAGATTACAGCCCTCCTCAGCTTTATCTTGAAAGATCCTGTGAGAGGCTGCGAGATGAAAAACCATTTTCTTTGAAGGGAAACCAGTGGTGGTGAGCTGCTCCTTCTGCCTTCGGCTTCCTTGGTTTTGCAAGGGGAAAACAGCAGTGTATTTTGCAGGCAGCTGACCCCACTGCAGCTGGATCAGACCTGGGAGGAGCTGGAAGCCAGGCACATGTTTTCAGAAAAGGAAAAAATAGCAGAATCTCCCAATATCACTGAAGATTGTTACTGTTTGATTAAGAAATACTCTTAAATTCATTGGAGTTCAAATGAAGAGTTAGGCCGGGAGTAGTGGTTCCTTTGTAAATGTTTTATTCCCCACCATGTGCTTTTGCAACAAAGTAACTCAAACAGCAGTTTTTGCTGGAAAACAGGTTTTGAACTACAGCCCAGCTATTCCCATGAAGCTGGAGTAATGGGATGGGTGTTCTTACCAGACAGAACGAAGCGCCGCCTACATCTAAGGGTTCACAGAATTCATACAAAAAGATTTTTGTAATTGTTCACTTCAAATTGTTTTAAGGCAAACTTTTTAATTATTATTTAAATATTATAACCATATTATTTTTTATTATTATTATATTATGAATCATCATTTGGGGCTTTGTTGTACTTTTACTCTGGGGGAAAAAGAAAGGATTATTAACTTAAATCACTTTCACTCCAAAGCATTGACCCTGTGTTTGTACTTTGTCCTTGCCTGGAGCTGACAGTGTGCGGGGAGGAGGGGGCTCAGGCTGTATTTTGCTCAGCTGTGGCTGTGAGGGGAGCTTATTGAGGATTTCCCAGCCGGTGGCACCACGCTGCTCCTTCCAGCTTCATGTGCACTTTGGTGATAAAGCTGGCCCAGGCCTGCGGAAAGTCTGTTCATTCTTTGTCCCGTTGCAGAGTTTTCTTTCTGTCTCCCTTGCATTAATTAATGTTAAGCTTGAAAAACTGGGCCAGGGAGCTAAACTTGACCAAAACCTGTTTTTGTTGAATCTCCTTACGATTTATTCCTCATTCTGCAAAGAAGCCCTCCTGTCTTAGGCCTGAGAATTCAGTGGGGACATTGACCACCTTATGTCCTTCTTTTCTACTCCATTGAAAGGAGTTGGCTCTGAACTTGTTCTGTGACCATCTCCACAGTGTGGACTAGAGATCGGCAGGGGGATAAAAAGTAGAGGAAAATCCTGGCCTTTTGTGTTGTTGTACTGCATGGCATGGTCAGCAGGTGATTGCTGCTGAGCCTAGCACACTAGGGAGGAGACAGCCTACCTGGAGGTTCTCCCACAAAAAGTCAGGCTGTCTGCAATGATTGTCTTTGTGTCTGCCTAAGTGGGATTCCTTGTGGAGCACGGGAACGTCTCTGGTGCCAGATCACAGAATCAGGGAATTGTCAGAGTTGGAAGGGACCTGTAGAGATCATCCAGTCCAACTCCTCTGCCAAAGCAGGGTTGTCCAGAGCGCATCACTCAGGACAGCATCCAGGTGGGGCTTGAAGATCTCCAGAGAAGGGGACTCCACACCCTCCCTGGGCAGCCTCTGCCAGGGCTCTGCCACCCTCACCCCAAACAAGTTCTTCCTCACATCCCAGTGGAACTTCCCATGGTCCAGCTTGTGCCCATTGCCCCTCGTCCTGTCACTGGGAAAAGAGTCCGGCTCCATCCTCCTTCAACCCACCCTTTAGACACTTGTCAGCATTAATAAGGTCTCCCCTCAGCCTTCTCTTCTCCAGGCTAAAGAGCCCCAGCTCTCTCAGCCTTCCCTCATCAGGGAGATGCTCCAAGCCCTCCATCATCTCTGTTGCCCTACGCTGGACTCTCTCCAGCAGTTCCCTGTCTCTCTTGAACTGGGGAGCCCAGCACTGGAGGCAGGATTCCAGTTGTGGCCTCCCCAGTGCAGAGCAGAGGGGGAGAATGACCTCCCTCCACCTCCTGGCCACACTCTTCCCTCCACAGCCCAGGATCCCATTGGTCCTCTTGGCCACAAGGGCCCATGGCTGGCTCATGGAGAGTTTACTCTCCACCAGGACCCCCAGATCCTTCTCCTCAGAAGTACTTTCCAGCAGGTCCACCCCCAACCTGTATTGGTGCCTGGGGTTCTTCCTCCCCAGGTACAGGACCCTACACTTGCCCTTGTTGAACCTCATGAGGTTCTTCTCTGCTTGCTTACTGCAATAATGGTTTGGAAAGTACGATGTGAGAGCAAGGCTGATAATTGTGTGAATATCTGGAGTTTTAGTTGAGGTGTCTTAAATCCTGCACCGATTCCCTGTGAGATAGTGTTTTCTAAAGCAACTTCCAAGCTCTGCAGCACACAACTTCCTAAGAGAAGGGTGTCAGCCCTGCTTACTGTAGGATCCAGAGTGCTTGGCGGGGCTGATCCATCCTCAGCACTTCTTACTGTTCCTTGGAATGTTCTACAGGCTTTGTCAGCGATAATGGCTTTTTTCATGACCCCCAAAATTTCAGGCTGTGCTGATGAGACTCTCTAACCAGTGATGTGGTTCTGTGTTACATGGAGTGTTTGCAGGTACTCCATAGAAGGTTTATGTTGGGAGGTGAGGGCAGAAGGGTGTCGTTCTAGGGTTGGCAGGTGAAGGAAGGAGAAAGGTTTGTACCACAGAAGGGACAGAGGGTGCTTGGTAGGATGTTAAAATTCCTGAAGTGAGCCTGGGGGGCCGGGCTGGGAGCAAGTGTAAGAAAAATGGAAATGCTGCGCAAGAGTCATGTAATATTAAAAATAGCTGATTATAATTTTTTTTTTTTTAATATTCCTTCTACTAAACCGATGTGCTTGCTTGCTTCCTACTTGGGGAAATTATGGGAAGGGGAGGATGCGAGTAGGGAGCAAAGATGGCAGTCACTGTTACTATTACTACTTCATCTTTGGAATTTTGATTCTTTTTGATTCTTGCATCAGTACGTGTTACAAATTCATCTCTCCTTCCAGCCTCGATTTATGGAGGAAAGAATGAAAGGGGGATGTGTATATATCAGAAGAAGCAGTATCATACTGTTTGTATCTTTGTTTTATCATTGCTATTACTGCATTTCTGATTTCCAAATTTGATGGCTTCTTCTAATAAAATATTCACATGTGTAATCCAGATACTTCAATTAATTACATTGTAATTAATGTAACACTGTCAAGGCGTTACAGCAGTTTCGACAGAGTTGGGTATTGGCAAAAGTTTTCGAATGCTTGACAGCGCCTGTGTGTTGTGAGGCTTAACTGGTTGTTTCACATCAAGTTGTGCATATTAGATGTGTGCAGCATGTAAATGATGCAGCGTGTCCATTAATCAGGAATATAATCTAATTTTTGACAGGAAGGGAGATAAACGACAATTTGCAGTTGATTGCAGTCTGTTGCTAAAATAACTAATAAGCTTTTTTTGGTTTACTTAATAGGCTGGATGGAAGGAAAACCACGCAACATTTATGAATGAACTGAAAAATCTTCAGGCTTCAGGACTAACAACCCTTGGTCAGGCACTCAGGTCATCGTTTGACTTGTTAAATCTCAATAGATTAGTGTCTGGAATAGACAACTATGGACAGGTAACAAATCTGTTTGTAGTCTTTGGTCTTCTGTTTTTCTCTGGTTTTTGAAATTATAGTGGGGGAGGGATTTCAGTGTTTTTTTTTTCTTTGTTACACCCACTCAACATACTCTGGATTATACTAGCATTTTTGCCTTATTGGGCTACAAATAAAGCAGTAGTATAAATGACCCAGGCATTTATATACATATGTACAAATGGCAGCAAATTCGTCAGTGTCCTTTTTGGATCATCATTTGCTGCTGACACAACTCTGGGAGGGGTGGCTGACACACCAGAAGGCTGTGCTGCCGTTCAGTGAGACCTGGACAGGCTGGAGAGTTGGGCAGAGAGGAACCTGATGGAATTCAACAAGGGCAAGTGTAGGTGCTGCACCTGGGGAGCAATAACCCCCTGCATCAGGACAGGTTGGGGCTGACCTGCTGGAGAGAAGCTCTGAGGAGAAAGACCTGGAAGTCCTGGTGGACAACAGGATGCCCAGGAGCCAGCAATGGGCCCTGGTGGCCAAGAAGGCCAGTGGCATCCTGGGGGGCATCAGGAAGAGTGTGAGCAGCAGGTGGATGGAGGTCATCCTGCCCCTCTGCTCTGCCCTGGGGAGGCCCCATCTGGAGCCCTGGGACCAGTTCTGGGCTCCCCAGTTCCAGAAGGACAGGGAACTGCTGGAGAGGGGACAGCAGAGGCTACAAAGGTGATGAGGGGCCTGAAGCATCTCTCTGATGAGGAAAGGCTGAGGGACTTGGGTCTTTGTAGTCTGGAGAAGAGAAGGCTGGGGGGGGATCTGATCAACACCTATAAATAAAGGGTGGGTTTCAGGAGGACGGGGCTGGTCTTTTTTCAGTGGTGCCAAGTGACAGGACAAAAGGAAATGCCACAGACTTGCACATAGGAAGTTCCATCTAAACATGAGGAGGAACTTCTTTGCTGTGAGGGTGGCAGAGCCCTGGCAGAGGCTGCCCAGGGAGGTGGTGGAGTCTTCTTCTCTGGAGACATTCAAACCCACCTGGACACGTTCCTGTGCAACCTGCTGTGGGTGGGACCTGCTCTGGGAGGGGGTTGGACTAGATGATCTCCAGAGGTCCCTTCCAACCCCATAGCATTCTGTGATTCTGATTCTGTCCTGACCTCCCGTCTCACATCTGAAGACTCAGGTTAAAATTACTCTAGTTTTTGCCCCACTGTCATAATGAAATTCCAAGTTCTCTGTATTATTACCAATTTATACACTGCTTTTGTAGGCTAGAGGGGTTTTGAACTGTTATTGGAGGAAAAGACTAGTAATTCTAAAAACACTGTGCACAGAGTACCACATCTCGCATAGTTCTGTATAGCTCCACACCTATTGAAAGAAAATTGCAGGATTTTTTTTAAAGATTGCTTATCTCGCTGTTTATTTTATAATGACAAAAATATAAGCCTCTAACTGAGTGTTAAGGCTACTCTTAGCATTCCTGTGCTTTTGTCTCTAGGGAAGGAATCCGTTCTTTTTGGAGCCATCTATTTTGATTACTATCACAGACGGAAACAAACTGACAAATACGGCTGGAGTTCAAGAGGAGGTAAACTTGCATTGCAAGTTCTTTTAAGCTGCAATCTTGCAATTTGGCGTTATGCTGAGATTAATATTAATTGTTTTTTTCCTGCTGATAGTACTTCTGCTTCATCAGCCTGCTTTATAATAAAGAATAGGAACTAGCTCTGCTGTCATTGCTCAGCCATAGCTCACATGGGTTTGTAGGATATAAGTTCAGATAGTTTTGGAGAAATGGCATCTTTTACAGAGTAATGAATAGATTTGAGTATTGGTTTGTCAAGTACTTGAAAATGTCCTTAAATCTTTGTTTACCAGCTTCATCTTCCTTTGAATTCTCCTTTGCCTGGAAGTGAACTAACCAAAGAACCATTTCGTTGGGATCAAAGGCTGTTTGCTCTAGTGCTGCGTTTGCCAGGAGCTGCCTCTTCTGAACCGGAGCAGCTCGGGAGTGTGCCTACTGATGAGTCTGCTATCACACAGATGTGTGAAGTGACAGGAGGTAACTGGATGTTACTTTGCTTTGGTTCACATTTGATATTTGCTTTAAAGTATTTCTTTTCCTTTGATTCAACTTCACCTCTTGCTGTTTTCTCCATCTGAATTACTCAGTGTCCATGTGAACATGTGTGGTGTTTTCTGAGTTTGGTTTCCAGCAGCACAGGAGAACTTTAAAATAAAACTATATTTCTATTTCAGACCTTCTAGATGTGAGAGAATTTTCTTAATGCCACCAGTAGGAGGGATTGTAAAATTTCTTAGATTGTCCTTCCAGAGGTTGCCTTTGCTCAGTCATGAGATTTATTACTTAAATGTTGAATTAGGTGGGACAGGTATTATTGAGATGTTAGTTCTGCAGCAGGGCTAATTAGCTAAATTTAATCTTAAAAGAGTTAATTCTGGAGCCTGTTCCTTGAGATGTTAATCAGATTTATTTTTTTTAATTGGTGCATGAAAAAAATGTTGTGTGGGAGGTGGAAGTTTGGGAGTGTATAGGAGTTGGTAAGGTTTGGGTAGACAAAAGCAGATAGATCACATAGAATTGGTGAAATCGGGCATTCTTAAGAGTGTTTATAAACTTGGTCCTGGACCAGCCTGATTTAGTCTTAATTGTCTCTTTTACTAATGAGTAAAAGCTCTGTGGTTTGGGGGGTTTTTTCTCCCTTGGTTGTATTGTGTTTGAGAAGTGTTTTGCCTTCTACATAAACTTGTACAGTTTGTTGCTATTATTTTGGATAAAACCAAAAGCCTTGGCAATGTGACTTCTGTAAAAAACCATCTTCCTAAATTAAGATTACTCAAAACTTGCTTTTGTATTTTTCTTGTGTAATTTCTCCCTTGCATAGGTCGTTCTTACTGTGTTCGGACACAAAGAATGTTGAATCAGTGTTTAGAATCTCTCGTTCAAAAAGTCCAAAGTGGAGTTGTTATTAATTTTGAAAAGTCAGGACCGGATCCAGCTCCTATTGGAGAAGGTATGGCAACTGCTTTTTTTCCTCCCAAAGTTCAAGAAAAGATGTTTAGTATGCATGCAAATGTCACCTTTTTGCAGGGGGGCGCTGAGAGAAGGGAATCTTTGTAGGAAGTAGTAAAGTTTGAATTACAGTGTTGTCAAAACTTAATTTTAAAATAATTAAATCCAGGAGTAGCGTATTCAAACACTTAAACATCTCCAAAGTAATCTCAGTGCTTAATTTTCTGTACATTTAAATTCTGCTAATTGATCGCAACACAGTAAGATTCAGTTGAATATTTTTAGCTGCAAGCGAAGAATTGTGTGCAGAGAACAAGGAGTTATTTTGTTAGCGGCGAGTGAAGTATAACAGGGGAGAGGAAAATGCACTCTTAACGTGGAGCAGTTTTTCAGATGTGCAGAAATTCATGGCTGAAAGGAAGGATAGAGACCTGACCAGCTCATGTTTAGGGAATGAGGATGTTTCTGGAATGTCAGAAACAATATCTTTTAGGATCCCCTGAGCCTCTCAGCGTAGCCAGCTATATTCCTGCTTTCATTTTTGATCACCTTTTTCTTGCTGTTTATATATATTTTTTTCTCTTTTGCTTATTTAAATGCCATTTTATTGGAAGGCTTTCCTGTAATATTCTGCAGGACAGCACCTCAGCAAATTCCTGTCTCTCTGCTGGCCCAAATATTCTCCCAGGTGGCAAAAAGGCTGGTGAAATTTGTTGTTGGGCTGTTATTTTATTTTTGTCACACTTAAGTTGTGATGCAGTGTGTATATGAATGTATCGAGACTTTCCCTCTTTATGTGAATTGTGACAGTCCTAAAGTAGAGAGAAATTTGATGGGATTTAACAATGTTAGAAAAATCACTGCACTTGTAATGCAGAGAAACCAAACTGGTGTGTATGTAAAAGGTGTTTTGCATAGTATTACTGGCCAGCTCTCTAAAGCAGGGAAAATGAGTAGTGTAAAATGGCCAGTGAAGAAGTCTTTAAATGGGTGATCTGTGCTGTTCCATTTGCTTTGAAGAGCAGTATTTAAAAACTAATGTTGAGATTCTGTCCTGCTACAAATGTTTTGCCCTGAGCTGAAGGGGAGTCTGTACTGGTAGACTGCAGCGCACTGGCAGAAAGCACTAGTCCTTCCAGTAGAGAGTGAGATTTAAATGATCTTTGAATTCTTACTAATTAAGAAGGTGACAAAAGCTGCTTCTGCAAGATGCATCTGACTTTTCTGTGAAACTTTTCTTCACTTCCAGTTTCCACTGGTGGCAGCATCAGTCAGAGAGCTTTGCATCCTGGATAGAAAGGCTGTAAATGCAAATTATCAATATTTACAGGTGCAGCAGAACTCAAACCAATAGGTTTGCTGTTGCCTGTCAGATCTATGTCAAAGTACTAAGTGTAAGCAAATAGCATTTTCGAAATGTGAGTATGTATGCCTTGCTGTGCTCATTAATTTGTGCCATGGGAGCAGAAGGGCAGATGTGGGCAAATGTTATCGGTGTTTCTCAGATGATGCTCTTCCATGTTTTGACATGTAGGTTCTTTTCAACCACTGAAGTAAAGATGTGTATGTCTTTGAAGCAATTGTAATGAAACACCTTATTGGTTGCTAATACAGAAAGACATACGCATGCACATAGCTTTTTATTTTCTTTTTTTGTTGTTATTTTGCTTTCTTCAAATTTTAGATGGACTCGTTGATTCATCCAGGCCCATCAATTCATTTGCTTCTCAGCCGTGGCATAGTTGTCATAAACTCATTTATGTACGGCCTAACCCTAAAACTGGGGTTCCTGTTGGGCATTGGCCAATCCCAGAGTCTTTTTGGCCTGATCAGAATTCACCGACACTGGTAAGTAAAATAAGAACTGAAAAAAGGATTCTACAACTATTGAAACAGACTGAAAATGAATAATAAAGTAATTGTTGTTTTTTTTCTTTCTGCTTTCTCTGTTTACTAATGTGATTTGACTTAGCTTTAAAAAGGTAGTTAAAACTATTTTTAACACAGAATGGTATAATTTAATGTAGATAATCTATGCAGTGATGGGTTTTGCATCTGGAAGGTTTACTTCTGTGTATATGGTTAATTAATTTAGTAGATTTTTTTTTTAAAGATTATAAAATTTAACTATAAATTATTTAACATACCACAAATCATAGTGAACTTCTTAAATATTAGTCAAAGCTTTATAAAATGCATTGATATGGAAAAAGGAGTATTTGGTTTTGATACATCAAACGTGTTTTCTCTGCTTAGCATTACTTCATGTGTGGACTACTCTTTCATTAGCAGGAAGAATTAAAACTGAAACAGAAGAGTTACCCTGTTCAGAAAATGAAGGGAAACCAGCATTCATTCCTTCTTTTCTTACTGAAATGATCATACATTTGGCATGTCTTACTAGCATTTCTAAACATCTCTCTGTTGTTAGGCATGTCTGCAAGTGCTCAAGAATACTGTTTTTTTTGTCTCCCCCATGATTCAAGAGGGAAAAAAAAAAGATTTCACAGGGAATATCTTGAGAGAGCCTTTGTGAAGTGACCACAGTTTCATATCTGTAGTTCTGTGAACATCAGGCTGGGAAGCAGAGTTGAAGTTTCTCTTCTTTAAGCCTAGCTGTGATATTATAGGTTCATTGGCATGGAGGATCAAGATAAATAGTTGAATATTAACCCTGTTTTTCTCTTGGTGGGAACAATGTATGTACATGTGCATGTCTCTCTCTTTTCCAAGTTACAGAATTAATTAATTAATGTGGGAGCTTGTATCTTTTTCTCTCTTGAAGGAAATTGTAGAAACTGAGAGTTTATGCATATAGGATGGTAAAATACATGCATATGAATCCTATTAAGAGAACTGTTTTGTTTGCTGTAAATACCAGACAATTGGTATCTTTTCTTCCCCCCTTCCTTTCAGCCTCCGCGCACAGCTCACCCCATAGTGAGGTTCTCCTGTGTTGATTGTGAGCCAATGGTAATAGACAAGCTTCCTTTTGACAAGTATGAGCTTGAGCCTTCACCCTTAACACAGTACATCTTGGAACGAAAGTCTCCTCATACCTGCTGGCAGGTATTTACCCGTTATTTGATTCTGGAAATTTAATGGGCGTCCTAAGGTACTGTAAGCCTGGAGAATTGGGTCTGGTTGCAGACTCTGCAGTTGATGAGAAGAAACGTTGTCAAGGTTTCCCTTACCTCCTTTCTAATAGAATTATCAAGGAGTCAGAGTAAGTTGCCTCTCCAGGCTTTGTAATCTCATTTAATTCTGTTTCTAGGTCCATCTCATTTTGCTAAGAAATGTGTCCCGCAGGTTCCATTTTCCTCCAAATTGAAATTCCCTCTAGGCTTCCATTTGCTTACAAGGAAAACCTAGCACTAGTTTCCATCATGTTACCTCATCAACAGCTGCAAATAATTTCCACTAGATGGCTGAAACTGCTGCTGGGAATCGAATGGGAGCTGTTGATCTTGTTGGCTAGATGGCCTTAAAGAGGTCAAAGTTCTGTTGCTGAAATCCTCTGTCACATACTACTTTTGTGATTTTTGGATAAGTGACTTGCTTCTGCATCTTCTATAAAACAAAGGCTTGTAATTCCCTTCTCAATGGCGTCCTTGTAAAGAATAGCCTAATATGTACACTAGGAGTTCGCTTAGTCTGGTACTTTAGCTAGAAAGAAGGGTTTGGAAGTGTCTCTTTCATGTTTATGTTTCCCTAATAAATATTACAAATTAACTGGAAATGCAACACATGTATTCAGAAGAAAAATTGAAGGTACTTTTAATAAATCAATTTCAAAAATGTCTGTTACACATTCCTAGGTACATTATTTGCTTAAATTATTAAAATTACTCGGTTGTTTTTCAAAAACTGCCTTCCTTCTCCCAGCTTAGTGTCAGACCCTTACAAACTAGAAAAATAGGCTCATTGTCATAGAAACCATGTAGCAAACCCTGCTCCTTGCACTTTGAAAAAAGAGGGGAAAAAGCCACTTCCTTTTTACTGCAAGGTTTACTTTTTTTAGGAAAAAAAATTCTGGTTAGTTGTGTGGTATTTTGACTGTCCCAATAAGTAGTTGTTTTGCATGTTTTTTAAGGTTAATACCCCCATACACATACACACTTAAAAAGTCAACGTTAAAATGTTGGCACTTGGCATAACGAGAAGATATTTCTTGAATATTTGTTTGTTTTGCTTAGTTTCTGTGCTCAAAAAGATTTCTTTTATTGGTATTGTAAATTTTAGTCAGGCTGTTGTATGAATCAGAAGACGAATCTCCAACAGATTGTTTTTTTTATTTTAGTGTACCCTCAACAGATGTCCCCTAACCCATTTTAAATAATTTCAAAAACTTCATAGAGAATGGCTTCAAAGTAGTTTCACTGAAGCACTGAAAATGATGCTGTTCCACACTGGCTGGGGGGACACTAAATGTTGCATGTCTGTTTTATGTGACTGGGGAATGTAAGCGCATGCTCATCCCCATGTGTACAACCTCAAACTTGGCTGCTCTTGATAATTTACTGTCTTAATGCAATTGTGTTCAGATTGATTTTCATTTCTTAAATACCCCATGCTTAATATTCTTCATATTCTTCTAATACAGTGATATCTCTTTATTCTTTATCAGGTATTTGTGAGCAGCAGTGGAAAATACAGCGAACTTGGCCACCCATTCGGGTATTTAAAAGCAAGCACTACTTTAACCTGTGTAAACCTCTTTGTGATGCCTTACAACTACCCTGTTTTACTTCCATTGTTAGGTAGGTAATAAATTTACATTGCACTGCCCATGCAGCTGCTTCAGAGTAAAAGAAAAACAATTATGGTGTTCTGCCTTAGCTTGAGACATTATAAAGTAATGGAGATCAGAGAGTAGAGAATGTTGCAAACTCTTTAACATAATTTGGGAGGAGAGGATTTTCATACCCCCTCTCCCTTTTTTTCTCTCCAGCAGAGGAGGAGAGCTACCTGCTTCCAGTGCATGTTTGATGCTGTTCACCTCCTAGACACGTAGCCTCTTCCTTAACCTGGAGTAAGCTTCAACCTCCATTCTTTTCCCTCATTTAGGGTGTGGTGTATCCAGGTTTTGCAGTTGCTCTTGTAGCAGCTAATTTTTTACTGGAAGATGAGATGCAGTGTTTGTCACGGGTGTTGGGAAGAGGGAATTCCCTGACGCAGTTTAGAGAAGTAAGGAGGTACTGAGCAGTGAAACAGCCTACACTTTTTCCCTGCCCAAAGGACCAGTGGTTTGGTTTTTTTTCTCCCACAATGAAATTACTTTCTACAGGAAAGACGGTATGAAAAGGTGCTGTGTGAATAACTGCCATTATAATTGTGGCTGTTGGGTTCTGGCATAAGGTAACGGCAGAGAGAAGAGTTTCCTGGGTGCTACTAACCCTTTTAGTTGCAGATGCTGTAAGACTTTTTTGTTTTGTGGGTTTTTTTATTTTATGTAGGTGTGTTTAGTGGACAGAATAGCAGTGGAGATCAAGAGAATTAACATTGACTCTTACTGTCTTACACAGGATTTTTCTATTTGTTTCTAGAAAAAACCCACAACAGAGTTCAGGAATGCCTTTTCATAGTCCTGGTCATAACCAAAAAATAAATCTGTGCTTGCTCATCATTTAAGTATGTCTTACATAGTCATCCTTGTAGCCTAATAATTGTCCCAAAATGTGCAAAAAGGATACTTCTAGATTAAATTAGAGTTTCTGTTAGTTTGTGGCTACTGAATTACTGCAGCAGATCCACCAGCTGAAAAGCCATCTCTGATGCCAAATTAATTTCCCTGTTCATTTTGATGTTGACATTTGCAGTTCTGCTGTGTCTTCCCTGGCAGCTCTTGTCTTCCCCCCTGCCTGTTTTTTGCAGGGTGTAAAGCTCTTCCTACTCTTTGGGGAAAGGCATTATTCAGTACGGGCAGTGCTATTCTGCAGTTTACTCACCTGATATCCCACATATTAAATTTCTGAAGGCTGTTTAAAGGGAAATGCGGAGCTTCCACGTTAGCAGAGTTGTAAAGCGGATGTTTTCTCTAGAATGCAAATACTCTGCATTCTGTATTGTTAACACGAACGCATACACAAAGTGTGATCTTCAGATCTTCTTCCAGGACTTTATTTATCCTTGGTCTCAAAGAAAGACATGGTGGAATTAATATAAAACACAAAAGCAGATCTGCCCTCTTTTCTCCTTAGCAGTATAGAAAATGACTAAGATGATGAGCAGCTTACCTGTTGAATTATTTATAGATGTTTTAAAAAATGCCGACTCTGTGTTCATAGATAGGGGTTGTTCCTGTTTTTAAACTCTCTCCCTGTGTCTGTCTTAATGCATACCAGGTTATTGATGGTGCAGTAGAGCACTGATTTGAGGGTGTAAAACCAATCTTTCATTACTCTCACCCACATTAAAAAGGACGTGAGAACTTCCAAGCCCAGGAGAAGTCTGCTCTATTCAGCCCCTACTACCCACCCATACTGATGCATCACATACTGCCCTGCTGCTGGAATATTTTATTGGAGGACTGGGACTTGGGATAGTACAGTGGATAATCCCTCTTCCTTCCTTCTAGTGACTCTTTCAGACAAAGCAAAACCACTTCACAACTGCATTATTTGTACTGTCTTGTCAAGTGGCTTACGTGTGTTCAGCCTTATAAATAGATAGCAAGATGCTTCAGAATTTTTTTTCTCACATTCTTGAGCAGGAGAAGTTATAGTTTTATTTTTGGAAAATAACGTAAGAGACAGCCCTAGAAGACAGGTAAGATAGGTGTGCATGAAGAAGTTTGCAGTGATACTTGAGCAAACTGAAACAAGTTGTAGCGGTCCATGACTAAAGGAGGTAAATTGTATCACATCCTATAGATTTGGTGATTTAAATCTCCTTTTCTGCAAGAGTGGATTTGGGGATGCTGTAGCCTCTCCTACCTTGTAACCTAATGGGTCTGCTTTTAGAATCTGGAGCTTTGTAAGGAAAGGAGCCAATTAATGAGACTTCATAAAACAGTGTATAGCCACACAGGCCGTGCATTAACTTGCCGCATGCACTATGGCTTGTCTGACAAGAATTCTGGTCTCTAGATCTTGTACTGAGGTACAAGATGAGCTGAGCAGCTCCTTTTTGCTCTCACATAAAAGCCTAGAGAAGCACCCCGATGAGCTTGAGGCAAAGGTTTGCTTGGAGAACTGGGGAGGTGGGGTGCAGTTCTCCTCTTGGCTTCCTTTTAGCTCAGTGAGAGGCAGAGCTCTGAAGACAGAACATTTCACAGGTAGATGCTGACATGTTCTGATGTTGAATATGCTTTACCCACGGATTATAGAAATCTCCTCTCGAAGGGTTGTTGCTGTTAACCGATACTAGCAAAGCTATTGTACTTCTGGTATTCTGTTTAAAAACAATCGTACAGCCAGGTCCAACAAGGGGTTAGAGAGAGAGCTTAGCAAAGATGAGGTTCATTTCTGGGTGCCCTGCCTTGCCTGGGGTGTTTCCTTGGCTGCTGCTGGTCAATGGCAGTGATTATCCATTGGGAATGTCAGCAGAAGCAGCAGTAGTGAAACAGCCATGGGGAAAATACCACCAGAAGGTGGGTAATAGCTTTTCTCTGTGGGTCTAAATATGCAGAAGACTGAGCATTTGGAAAACGCCTGCCTGTGAAGGACTGCAGTGTGGGCAGTTTCCTGTGAGGCTTTTACAGGCTCCTTGAGAGAACCTGCAAGTAATGATTTTATATTTTGGAAACGGAGTGGTGTTTTTCTCACAAATGGGGCAGTAGCAGGTGTAGCACTGGGAGGGGGAGCCAAACATTTTGTGTCAATGGAAAAAGTGTGCCACAATACCTTTTTTAATGGTGGATACTATTTTACATTGTGGTGCCTTATTTTTGGCTAGATTGTTTACAGGGAAGGATATTTCTGTGAATGTAAAATCATAAGTCTCTACTGCTTAAAACAAAGAGTATATCTGTTAGTGCAGAGGCGTTAGAGAGCTCAGAGAACTACAGGAGCCAGCAGGGAAGGGTGGTGTACTTGCACAGGTGGAATTTAATGCGAGCGGTGATTAAAAAAAATGCAAGTTTTTACTTTGGTTTACATGGTGCAGGCTGTCACTTACAGCTAGACTTGTCACATGAACTGTTCCTGTAATTAGGCTCCAGCTGAACTAGTAAAATGACCTGGTGACCACTCCCTCTCTTATACTCTCTTGGGGTTTTTTTTTGTTTTGTTATTAACTGTTCACTGAGCCTGAGAGTGCCATTAAGGATATGTATTGGTATCCTGTTTGTCACAATTTGGTTGTTTTGTACATTCATCTGAAGTGGATAATGACTTTGCAACATCCTTTTAAATTAACTGGTCTGTCTGTAGTTTCACCTGATCTCTTGAATCGTTGCAGCTTGTAGCCCTTTCCTAGTGGTTTTTAATTCCACGTTTCCAATTATCCAGTGCTTTTAGCTCCCTCTGAGTTTAGAAGTAAGAAAAATTCTGCCTTAAGTGGACTACACAGAGAGTAGTATCTGACAGTTAATAGGTTGGATTAAAACTAATTTGTGAAAGGTTATTTTCAATACTTCTGGATTTTATCTACAAAATATTGGGGTTTAATCTATGAAGGACATAGCAAACAGGAACCCAGTTAACTTATTTATATAAATGATTACGTGCAGCCCAGGGCACGGAGGAAAAAGTCCATTTCAAGTGCCTGTGTTGCAATCTGCTGAGAGTGTACATCTCAAACTTTTGTGGTACAGGCAGGTAAGATGTTGATGGTGACGTTGTCTGAAACTTGTGGCTGTGTTTCCCACCGTGACCGTCTCCCTTGTAGATGGCAGGCGTTCCTGCCGTGAGTTCGTGCTGCAGGGAAGCTCTCATTTTAAATAGACAAATCTTCGCTGAAGCTCTGTTTAGATTTGAGAAGTTCTTACTTGGATAGCAAAGGTCAGACAGGGGCTTTTGCATGTGATTTCTCAGAGTCCAGCTCTGGCGAGGATTAAGAACAGGCTCACTGGGTGTTGTGAGTGTCTGTGCCATTGGAGAGTGGCTGTGCCCTCAGACCAAAGCCTTATACACTGGTCCAACCTGCACGCTGCAGGGTGTGAGACAGTAATAAAGTGCTGATAAGGGGTTTAAGGTTCAAGCTGTACTCATAGCCAACTCAGAGACTTTAAAATATCAGACATACCATGATACTAAACATTTTACACTTTATTTTTTTTTCCATTTTGAACTTTGGAAGAGAGGTACAGTTTAACTTCCACTTTGCTGCAAAAAGCTAAACGGCTTATAAGATAAGAATGGGTGTTACTTTATATTTGCCATATGTCATGATACCATCACAGGTTCTTTTGGATAATAGTGCTAAGCATGTGGTATTTTAAATGGATTTCTAACTCATCCTCTCCAACTCCACCCTGCTTCCTTCAGGCCAGGAAAGACAACAGTTAGCATCTGTAGTGTGGTTTTTATATGTGATGCAGCATTCATTTAGATTGGAAAATACCTGTAATTAAGTGTGGTTTGACTACGAGAACTGGGAAAATCGTATCTTAACATCTGTTCGATTTGTGCAGAATCCTATGCAAGTCAAATTTGCTTCTCCAAATATATCTTCCTGAAAGCTCAATCTGGAGAAAATGGTTTCCTTGCTGCATCTGTCTTTCGCACACCCTCTGCTGTGCATCTCTGTCTCCCGCAGCTCTCCCTAGCTCAGTTTTGGACATCCCTTTTTCCAGTCCCACATATCCTTCCATCAGCCTCACTTTGCCAGCCTGTTACAGCCCTTCCAAGGAGAAACTTGATCTCAATTGATAATCTATAATTTCAAATGATATGTTGCAGCATACCGTGTTCTGTTTTGATGTTTAGAGATCACTGTCACAGTTTATAGCATGCGCAGCAAATAGGTACATGCTTCAGCTCAGTGATTCCTGAACGGCAATATGCACACCTCTAGTGCGAGCAAGATGTTTCTAAAACAGTAACCAAAGGAAATAATTTGTCTGGTTGCCCTTCTTTTAGAGGGTAGCAGTTTTTGTTGCTAATTCCTGTCTCTTGTCTGTATCTGGGGGTGAGTTTGCTGCTCTGGCTGGAGGTGTACCCGTTCTCACCAACTGCTCCTCTTGGCAGCAGACTCCCACAAAGCTGACCACAAAGATTTCCCTGCTCTGATATTTATTTTCCTTTCCTTTTGATGCCCAAGAATGTTTTTATTGGAAACCAGAATTTGTCATACAGGTTGAACAAGAGAAAGCTGGGCTGAAAATGGAAATGGAACCAATGAGTATTGTTTGGTTTAATCAGCTAGAGGTAGTCCCTGACGATGCAAGGGAGGTGACACTCTTTACAGGTGGATCTGTCGCACCTTCCACGCCGCTGGTAGTTGAGTGCCGTGGTTGAGGCTGGTGTACCTTGTAAGTTTGCCTGTAATGAGGACTTGGTCTGGATTGTCTGCTGCAGCTAGGACTGGGGGTTCACAAGCCTTCCAACCTAAAGTTAAGAACAGCTTTTGTGGGGAAGCCCCATTGGGAAATGGGTAGAGGGAGAAGAAAAGGGGGGAAGCTTGGCATGTTGAATTTTGGATAATGCTGATGGTCTGAGACTATATAAATGAAACCTTCTTTTGTTGTTTTCCCTCTTGCAGATGACTTGTTTAAGGTTCACAAACTTAAGCCAAATCTGAAGTGGCGACAGGCTTTTGACAACTACTTAAAAACCATGCCTCCTTACTACTTACTGGTATGTTCCTTTTCCCGTTTCATCCTCCCGGGTATAATGGCTGGTGTGACCAGAGTCCTGTGCATCATACCTCTTCCTAGTAAATTTGGTTTACCTAATTATGATGACATTGTAGATAGTAAACATTTTGCTTCGCAGAGGTATGTAGATCAGGTCAAACATTCTTAAGAGATAAATAAATTTCTAGTAATACTGAGTAATAGTAACTATATTAAATGTATTTTCTATTCATTAAATATTAATTAAGCCTTGATCTAAAGTACTTCAGGTTGTTCAGAGAAACCAAATTTGGCATTAATTTTGTAACGCGATGAGGACAATGCAGATTTGTTTGTTTATTAATGTGGATGAAGTGCTAGAACTCGGGAAGCTGCTACGAAGCGAACTGGCTGGGCCAGAGAAAGGGTGGGGGGAGGCACCGTGTCACCTTTACATGTAGCTTGGACAATGCACCTCAATATGGACTTGCATCATCCCGGCTATTCTGGTACTGAGCCTTTGAGTGGAAATTGCCAGTGTCACCACGCGGTGTGGTGTCGTGGTAATGTGGCAGACCGTCCATTGCGAGCTAGTTAGACTGCCAAACTCACGTCACGTGTTATCTGAATAGACTGGAATTTTAGTGGCCAAAAGTGGAAAAGCTAGAGCACTAATCTACGTGCCTTAGCTTCCTGTAATTGATCTTATAAATTTTTTTTTAAAGACTTATTCTCTTACTATTGTGTATTTTGTTTTCCTTATAGCCATTAAAGAAAGCCCTAAGGATGATGGGAGCTCCAAATCTGATATCAGATAATTTAGATTGTGGACTTAGTTACAGTGTTATCTCTTACCTTAAAAAACTCAGCCAACAGGTAGTATTGATAAAACCTTTGCAATTAGAAGTGCGTTGATTATTTAGTTTGTGGTAATCTCATTATAAAGCAGTTAATCCCTGTGGGAGTTCATATGGGTGTACAGCATATATTATAACTGAAGATGGGTCAGCATTTCCACCGCAAACGTGGATCAATCCAGAGTGATTCTGTAGCCAGTGATTGTGCCTTCTGTAAGTGGTGGAGGGGAGTGCGAAGGAGACCTCTTCAGCTACATTTTTAAGTATCTGCTAGACCTTTAAACTGCAAAGTTTATCACTAATTGGATTTATGACTGCTCTTGCCATTGTTCTTCACAGCTGAAGTCAGAGCCTTGCTCTCAGTGTCATGTTTATTTCCATGTGTGCCTTGGCAATGTGTATGTTCCAAAAAAGTGTACGTTCTTGTCCACGGGGCTTAAAGTCATAGTTTAAGCTTTATGTTTAAGCTTTCTGTTTCCTTCAGGTCAAATCCATTCTATGTTAAGCATGACCTGGTGGAAAATAGTCTTGCATATCTTTTCTCTTTGTCAAGAATGCCATTTCAGGTGTAGCTGTCTGAAAGCCACGCCTCCTTAGCACCAATGGTTCTTTAAACAGTAGTTGAATATCTAGAAGTCAGTGGGGAAGCAGTGCAGCCTTTGAAATTACAAAGAAAAAAAATCCTCCGCCTTAAAGAATGCACAAAATACATTCCAAAAGCCTCCGAATGACTGAGCATCTATTAGACATAAAACTTCCTGTGGCATTTTGGTAACTTAACGATGTGCAAATTGACATTATTTATCTGCAATATGGAGCTGAAATGGCTTGAGATGATTACTGTGGTTTTCACAGACATTCTCGGCACAAGAAACAGTTTAAATGTGCTGGATGCTCATGTATAAGGACAGGCAATTCCAGAACTCTGCTGTGCTCCTGCTGTCCTTAAATTCAGTTCACCACAGATAATGAAGCAAACCCTGCAGAGGATGAAATCTGGGGGAAGTGGGTTGCAATCACCATGGGGTTTGGGGGTTTGGTTGGTTGGGGTTTTCTGGAGGGTCAGTGGGTCTTACCTTGAATGCAGTTAAAGCTTAATACAGTAAAATTACTTGTCGCTGTAATAAGAAATCTGTGCTAGTTGGAGAAGTAATATGTTTTTAGAAAGTTACTGATGAAGCAAATTTCTTTTACAACTTTTCTCCCTTCCCTTGTTGCAAACGTAAAGTGCAAACCTTAGTTCACAGGTTGTTTCAAAAATGAAATCTGGAATTATGTTACTGTATCTGAATAATACTTTTTTATATACAACTTTAACCTAAGGCATCCCACCTTCCATTATTTTTTTTTGTTTTTCCTTTAAAAATGATTCTACAGGGACACAAAAGAAAGTCAAAAGAGTTGCAGCAAAATCAGGGATATTCACAGACCTCCTACTGACATACAAATTTAGATACACTGGCTAAATATTTTTTCCATGTGCTAGCACATTAGGATTTCTTTCTACTTGAGATTTAATCTATGCAATCCAGTATATCCCTGGGCAGGTTGTTCTCCTGTTTGTTGAGTAGCTGGGAACTAAATTTATCGTTTTATTCTGTTAATGTATGATGTGTTTTTTACTGGAAATCTGCAATGCCTGCTGATTCTTTAACTCATGGTGTGATTCCATTTTAGACAAAAATAGAGTCGGAACGGATAATAGGTTCAGTGGGTAAGAAAGTTCCACAAGAAATTGGAATAAAAGTGAAAAATCACTCCAGTGGCCTCTCCTTGGTACACAGTAGGGATTTTAAGCAACTGCTGCAAGGCATCACTGGGGAATCTCCACTGAGACTGGCGGAAATGAATGTTAAAGAGTTTGCTGGCTTCCACATAGGACTTCTAAACAAGGTAAACATGATTAAGCAGTCGATCTCATCTGTTTTAAATGGGTGACTTTTTTGGACTTAGTGTAGACAAAGACATGAAGTACTTTCACTGAATTGTGAAAAATGCAGCACAGGCATAAATAGTGAGAATAATTTTTTGTACTTGCTTTTTGGGATGCTATTTGAAAATCTCGTGGAAGTAAACAAAGATGATGGTGTTTTAGGTGACAATCTCCGCAAAAGACAGTTAGTGTGTTCATCCAGGAATTAACATGCTTATTCTTAATGGAGCTGAAAGTGCTAATGCTGAATAAGGTTTTGTTGAAAAGACAGTTAATTGAGTCTGCTCTGTCCAGTTTTGAAGCTCTGAAGTGACTTCAGAATAATTTTTTTAATAGTTAACATTAGTACAGTTCACAGAGGAGTTTCTTTGTGCGTCAGAACTGATGGGTTAACTGAAAGCTATTTGTTTGTTATACAACTAGGATTTGAAGCCACAGGCATTCAGAAATGCATATGATATTCCTCGTCGCAGTCTTCTAGACCAGCTAACTAGAATGAGAACTAATCTTCTGAAAACACACAGACTTATCTTGGGGCAGGATGAAGGTAAGTAGCCACTGTTCTTCATTAACAGTTTGGAGAAGGTACAGCTATTTTTTTTTTCATTCCCTGAAGTAGTGTTTTCTGTCCTGGGTGTGGGAGCAGAAGTGCATCATTTTTTGAGTCAGTTGGTGTCCTTTTCTTGACTCTGAAAGGGAAAAAAGGAATTTTTTTGCCTTCTGTCATGCAAAATGTCATGTTTGCTTTGAATTTTAAAAACAAGCTTGATGGGAGAGCTTTCCCATACAGTAAGTTTCAGTAGGCATGTTTTTTATAGTGATGGTGGCTTAAAGCAGAGAGGGGCTTATTTTATTTTACCTTTGTTAGATGCTGGGGGTCTAAAAAATGCAGTTGTTAGTATAGGGGTTAAACTTGGTTATTTTTCATTCTTCTGCCAGTTAAACTCAGTTTTTGCCAGCATTATTTCTAAAACTGTAGTGTTCAGTTCTTCCTTCATAGTAAAAAGAAATAGTCATTTCTAGTTCTTAAATGCTGACACTCGAAATTGAAGCCCATGAAGTCTGTATTGCCTTAGTTTTAAGGCAGACTAAATTGAGATCTCTTGCTGTGTTGCAGACTGCCTTCATAGCGTTCCTGTTGCTCAGATGGGAAATTACCAGGAATACTTGAAAATGATGCCTTCACCCCTTCGGGAGATTGACCCAGATCAACCAAAAAGACTTCATACATTTGGCAATCCATTTAAGCAGGATAAGAAGGTAGGAGGAGCCATACTAGCTACTGTGTCTTTGTATTTAATGTAGAATTTTCTCTCCAGCTGCAGCACGTTGCTGACCTGTGTAGCTCTTCATCATGTGTGAAAGGAGTGGTGTCCTTCATGTGGTCAGAAAGAATTGTGTAAAGAATCATGCTGATTTAGAGAGTCTGTCTCTGGTGACGGTGTGAATTAGGTGTCTCTGTTCTGAGATCTGTGAAGTGTTTTGAAAGCTACCTGAATTTTAACGCAGAGGGATTTATTCCATCAATGATGAAGCAATTTCTATTTTGTACTGTTTTTAAAATTATTTTTTTTTCTTTACAGGGTATGATGATTGATGAAGCAGATGAATTTGTCACTGGGCCTCAGAATAAGATAAAGCGTCCTGGAGAGCCCAATACTCCGGCGTCACTCAAGAGAAGGCGTAGCATGTCACCGCTACTGAGACGGCCACAGTCGCCACCCGTTGTAACCAATCATGTCGGTGGGAAAGGACCACCGGCTGCTTCTGGATCTCCATCATATCTGAACCTCAAAGGTGTCCCAGTGAATAAAGGTATATGGAGTTGTTGTACAGCACCCTGCATGGTCACTGCTTTCTTGAGTTGATTCAAAAGGGTGTATCACCATGTACCTGGGCTTTAGTGTTAATTAGGACTGAGTTTCTTTTGTTGGCCTAGCTAAATAGTCTGCTGTTACAGCTGATTAAGTCTGGAAGAAAATATAATTTTGATGAACTGTTCTTAAAAAATAAAATGGAAACCTCTCCCCAAAGTGCTTTGATTTCAGATCAGCTTTTAGTTCTCATTTGTGGATTCTGTGGCGGGGAAGGAAAGTTAAAATATAGTTATGTTTTCATTTCCCATAGGTACTAATTTTCTTACCCACCTGCAAATGGGTTAGAATGGAGCAAATGGAGTAAGAATAAAACTCTATTGGGAGAAGGAAGGAAGGAAGGAAAACATTAGCTTACTTAGAAGTCATAACACTGCAATAGGAATACAGAAAATGGTGACTTCACAACAGTCCGAAGGGAAGTATTCCCTTAGTCACATCAAAGATTGAATACAAGTATTGGAGAGTTGTTGAGCATTGTCACATCACTACACAGTACTTCAAACAAGAACTGTTTCCTTTTGATTTTTTGATACTGCAGTTATGTACTAATAAGATACGTATTTTTAATTTGTAGATACCAGTAACAGTGTTGTCCAAGATGGCAATGGAGAGAAGAAAGCAGAAAACTGTCAGTCACTGGAAAAGCAAATTGATGGCTTACCTGTGCAAATGGCTCCGTCGGTTCCAGCTGCCATGGGAGAGGATGAAATGTTACCCAATGACTTGGACTCTCTACCTGTTGAATTCAATTGTTTAAGTGAAGATGGGTTGGATCACAAACCTGGTACCAACGCACTTGTTCGAGGGCCTCTAAATTACAGCGTGACTGGAGATGACCAAAAACGGGCGATGGAGTCTACTTCTGAATCTGTGCCAAATTCGTTTAAAATAACACCTATGATGTTGGAGGGAAGCAATGCTGATATCAAAATTAAAGTGATGAAAGAGGTTCGCAAACCTGGAAGAAGTAAGTTGGGGGTTTTTATTAGTATATTATATGTGGTGCTAGAGAAAGGAGGGTTTTTTTCTTGAAACGAGGAGCTATTTTCAATACATGTACAGCTTTAGCCTTTGGATAATTTCTGATTGCTTGCAAACGAGCAATGGAGGGACAAAAAGGAAGAAAGTTCTTGCATGCTGAGGAGGAGTTAAAGTTTAGACAGCAGCGTTTGGGAAATTGAGTGCCAGGTGACCTTGTTTGCCCTTGAAGGTAGGTTAACTGCTGTGAGAGGTAACACGTGAAAGCACCTTTCAGAGGTTTTGTTTGTGTAGCTCCACGAAGGTGTTACCTTGATCTAATGCTACTGGATAGACAGGGCCTTGTGCTACGCAGCTCCGTGTATGTGCCTGGGGTGCTCCGTTGCTCTGTGTCCACCAGAGCTTCCTTTGGAGGGCAAAGACATATGTAGCTACAAGGGTGCATCTTAGAATACCTTCCAAAGGGAATGTTAATAGTGATATTCTTTCATTTTGCCATATAATGTAAATATGTAAATAAACTCTTAATAACTGAATACTAAAAATTACCTTCTTTCTTTTTGATAACCCTCCAAAATCTAAAAAGTTGTGAGGAAGAGTAACTTGCCTCCTCAGTTACGTGTTTTGATCGTGGATGCAAATATGGGCAAACCCAAAACACTAACCTGAAACTCCAGCTAATGTATATGCCGTAGGATTTGCCATAGGCATAATCTTTCTGTTCTTTCTTGAATGACAGATGTCCCTAACGTGGTCCTTGTCTGAATGAATTATTTCTACAAATCAAACTACTGAATATTTTTCAAATACATTGTCAAGTGCCAATAATTAGTAAATGGAGTAGTCTTAACTTTTCTGTTTTTCTGATCTTGCATTGCTTTCCCAAAACTTAGTATTTTGTTGAGGCACATAATCATTGTGGCAGATGGGGCTGTGGAGAGATGAAGCCATTTTATACTGTGTCTGTATTTTATTTTTAAGATGTTTTAAAATTTCCTAAATGGGTATGTCTTTGCTTCCTGTTTTTGCCAAGTGGGCTCATCTGATCATCCACCAAATTCATGTCTGGTGAATGGTGATGTAGAGTAAAATAGTACTATATTCAGTATGAGTCACCCATCTTGCTGCAGAGTTCAGGCAGTCATCAAAGAAAGAGGATAAATAGTAGTGCGTTAAAATATGTACATATATTCCCAGTTCTGACCATATATCCTCCCTGTGCCTGCTGCCTCGCTCTGAGCAGCCTCTTAGTCACAGCACCATAAATATCTCCACACTGGCTTCAACTACTGAAAATACTGCAAAAAACGCTATGTTTTGTTTCTAATTTACTGTGTCCAGTTCATTCTTTGGCAGTGGGTATATTTAAGTTGTACCTGTAAGCTAGTCCTATCAATTGTGCCCACACTAATAATTTATCTTTGTAAGAGAACTAATCCCAACCTCTGCTTTCAGAAATGACAGCTCTGGGTTAAAACAGGGCTTGGTGGCCCTTGGTGGCTATTAACTGCTAATGATGGCACTGTGTTCCTGGAGGTATGAGGCTTCTCTACCTACCCTGCTTTTTCTGAGGACAGCTGTTTTTAGCTGCTGCTCCTAAAGAGAACCTAATTCAAATACCAGGTCATCAGCATCACTTTTCAAATTATTCTGTCATCTGCTTTCTGTGCATAGAGCTGATGGGGGCTTTTTTTTCTTGCCTTACATCTATTGCCATGCACAGAAGCTTGAAACTCTGGGCTTTCCTTTTTCCTCTGGCTGTTAAACTTTATTAAAAATGTGTTTGCAAGATTAATTTTCAATGGTTGGATTTTAATTTATTTTGTTTTTTAGATTATGAAAAAATTTTCACTCTTCTTGAGGAGGTGCAAGGACCTATGGAAATTCAGAAGTATTTCATTGAATTTGCTATCAAGGAAGCAGCAAGGTTTGTATAAATATAAATTAAATGTTAATTTGGATCATAATATTAAATCACAAACTTCTCCAGTACTAGTATTTTCTGGTTTCCTTTTTGAGTATTTCAATTATTATAATTGGAATTTTCTGGCCATGCTAATGCCAGAAATAAAGCAAGCTCTTCCGTACTGGAAACAGAGAGCCTCTGGTAATACAATTTATCGTGTCTGAATAGTCTTGCGTTGTTCAACTGTATTTTTGGTAGAAAAAAGTCTAAATTGCTTTCTCTTTCTTTCTTAGGTTTAAAAAACGGGTCTTAATACAACACTTAGAGAGAATACTAGAGGAAGTAGAGTTGAACAGCCTACCCAACAGAGTTAATCATGTCAACAGTAGATAATAATGAACCAGCCAGACGAATATGGACCAGGAAGGAGTTTGCTGTGCCGCAGAAGAGTGGAAGAGGATGTAGCTGCTGCCCTCACCATCTTGGCAGTCAAGTGATTTTACTGTCACAGTCTGAGAAGAAGCAGAGGAGCTTTAACTTTAAGAACCTCTATCGGCAGAAGCTGGGCTATAACCTTAAGGATTTGCTATGAAAGGTGTGGCTTTTTCCTGTGGAGGGTGCTATTTGCTCAACAGGCTGAAGAAAATAACCATTGCTGCCCCTCCTGCAGGTGATGAGAATTTACTCATTTGAACGCTGTCATTAGACATTTACGTGCTATAGGCAGCAGGTTGCACTAAAATGGGGCACTGTCGAATGCACACACAGTCTGCATCGTGGAGAGAGCCCGTGTGTTCCCAAAAAAAAAAAAATACCCTCCCAGAAACACCTGCACTGGTAAAATTGCATGTTGCCACCACAGAGACGAGGGTCTTGTTCCCGAGAACTGCTAGCCATGCCTTTAAACTTGAGATTCAGTGTAGATTGAGAGTAAAGAAACTGCTATTGTGTTAATGAAAGCTAAAGACAGCCCTGTGACTGTTACCACCTGATGGTCACTAAACAATCTACCTCAGACTCTCTTCTGTTTTGTCTGCAGACATTATGAAAGTGCACCTGAGGCTTCCCAGGTCCCCGACTTCAGTTCTCTTTCATCCTGTGAGGAGGACGGAGATTCTTCAGGTGGCCTTGGCACACGCTGTGCTTTGGAAGCACTAAAAGGAAACGCTTTTAAAAACGTGTATTTTAATGTTCATACAAAAGAGATTATTTTGAACAGTATTGTTACCAGATCACTAATTTGATATTTTAACTGTATACATTTTTTGGAACATATGTATATATAAAATAAACCATTTTATTAATTTTTAATAAGTGCTAATCTGAGGAGTCTGTAGCGGGCAGCACCGCGTTCCTCCAGTTGTCTGTTACCAGCAGGCTGCCAGTATTTTTGTAAAAGCAGTGAGTAGCGGAGCTCTGCTGTGGCTGAACCTGATCCACACACCCTGTGACACAGCTCTCAGTTAAGAGCTGCAGAACGTTTGTACCCTGGAGCACCTGCCCCATCACTCAGCTCAGCCTGCGCGGGGCACACCTCCTTAGTCCATATTAAGGCACTGGGTTCCAGTTTACCAAACCCTTGGTTACTCGAGCTGGTATCCTCTCCTCTCTTCCTCTTGCTGTTTTATCCAAAGGTAATTTTATATCTCGCAGAACATACAAAGAAGACTGAAGCACCTGCATGTAATTTATTTTTTTTTCCTTTAAAGCAGTACCGGTGCCAGCAGCAAGCGGTCCTTCTGATCGTTATGTATTTTCAGTTGTTCACACGTAACGTCCTCTAACAGCTTTCTTTTAATGGCAGGTGGCAGTTGTGCCTCGTGGTAACTAGCTCTTCGCCTTGTACTGCCAATAGCCTAGGGATTCCGGTTGACGAGCCAGCGCGTGAGAGGCAGGAAAACAAATTTTAGCTGGTGAGCCTGTACTTCTCTGTTCCTGCTGGTATTTATAGTACCAGCCAGCCTTTGAGACGTCTTTTCCGTCCGCTCTGAAGCAGTGGCCTTGTCTCTCTGGAAGATGCAGTTTGACCATTGGAGTCACACCAGTGAAATTCGAGAAGGAAATAAAACCCAGCAACAGCAAATCTCTGTCGCAGTCTTACATGAATGAAGTGACACGGGGAAAGGCATTACTATAAATGCCTCCTAATTCTTTTTTTGGGAGTAACTTCTATTCATCTGTACAGTTGAACGTTTTTTAAAAAACACAGAAATACCTTGGAATGATATGAAAGAGGGATTCACACCTTCAAAGTCTACATGGAAGCTTTGTGTCACCATGATAGACCTCCTGTGCCTAATGACAGACTCTTAAAAGGCAATTTATGTACAGTAGGTCAGATATACTGTGCATACCTTGTTCTAAAAGGATTACATGCATCAAGTTGAATGTAATATGCTATTTTTGAAGTCGTAGGTGGTAAGAGGAGACAGCTCTCTTCTATCTAGTTAATGGTTATTTAATTTTCTTTCTTGGTTCCAGAGACACTCACTTGATGATGTGTCTGAGCAGGGGCTGAGTTTTTAACTAGTGACCTTGATAGTGTGTAAACCTGCTCTTTTGGTGTGATGCTGTTGGCTGCCAAATTAACTACAGGAAACTGATTACTTTCATTCTCTTCTTTGGAATCTTATGCCTCAGAAACGATAAAATAGTCCAAGTCCAAACAGTGAGAATTTTCCCTTACCTGAATAAATTGAATTTGGATCAGAATATTAGAGGGGAAGCAACCTTATAGTGCACTGGACATGAGTCTTCAGAAAAGGAAGGAAGATGTCCTGTCCTCCTGGGTGGTGTCCATGCAGAGGTGAAGGAAGAGGAGTGACAACTCTCCTTTGAAGTGGCCCAGTCCTGCATCCCAAATGGAGGACAAAACAAACATTTGGTTGCTCAGGAAACAGCAACAGCTTCACAACTGCATTAAGGAGAACCTTCTCAGAGATGAGTGGTGGTTAGACAAACAGCCGTGCGGGATGTGGGTGGAACAGGTGCTGAACAAGGCACAAGCTGGGAATGGACGCTTCACTCTGGTGGGAAACCAGGAGAGGTGAGGCTGGTGTCCAGCCCTGCCTTTTGTAGGTAAAGCCCATGACCCCAAGAGCCTCCTTGCTGAGAACACGGCCCATTCCTCAACAAGGGCTTGGGAGACAGCGCGGGGCCAGATACATATGGATGTGGAAGGAATCTGAAAAGCTGTGTGTGCTGTGCTCAAACTTGTATTTTTGAATATAGCGTGGCACAGTTAAACTAGAACTTAGGAAGTGGGGAAAAAAAATATGGCTCACTTTGTTTCCTCTAAGGAGCATTGTTTAACAATCTGAATTAAAAAATTAAGTGCTTCTTTTACTGACATAGGTAGAAGGGCTGCGTGGGGGCCTTGGAGTCTGGATACCTCTGTTCCCCGCCCCTCTCTTAATTGGGTATCCTCACTGCTCATTGTCTTGGAATTGTTTTCCCCTGTTTTAAGTCCCAAGGAGTTTTCCTCTTTCCTAAAAAGAGCCCACAGCCACGCAGCTCCCAGTCCTGTCACTGGTGGCAGGTGTCTGGTAGGTGCTGCGGTTCCCCGTTCGTGTGCGCAGAGCATTTGTGATGAGCAAGTGTATTCTTGCCCATGCTTCGCCAGCATCAGAAATTGATGGTCGTCTTCCAAAATAAAAACCGACTGTGCAGCAGTCAAGCAATTGTAGAATTTCCTTTACAGGAAACTACTAAAAAAAGAAACAGAAAAACCACCTTTTTTAATTCTGATTTTCATGCAATTTTCTCCAGGTTCTGCCTCTAAGCTAGCTGAAATGGCAGCGATGTAGGTTATTGAGTTTATTTTCCTTTTGTTCTGTTTTTTTAGTATCTACTAAGAAACTTCTGATGGAAAAATACGAGTGGAAATGTGTTGGCTAAGAGAAAAAAAACTATTAAAAAAAGCCCTGTAAGGCTGAACTATAGTGTTTTATACTGGTACGGCAACATCCCACCTTTAGCAAATGAACTCTAGAGTGCTAGTCTTGAAGAATGAACAATGCAGTTAAGCTGAAAACAAGGCTGAAGACACTTCAGTTCTGGCAGAGGTGGGGAGGAAGGATGTTAGTCACTGGATTTAAAAGGAGCTGCTTCTTTCAGGTCTGCAAAAACAAGGTGAAGTCTGCCTTAAGTGGAAAAGGAAGAAACTGGAGAAGAATAACGCCTTGGGATTTAGTAAACATCTGTGGCCTACGAGAATTGTTACACTGTGCTCCTAAAAGCTCAACCGTGTGATCACGGTTTTGACCACCTTATTTTAGGCTGTCATTTCAGGGAGGGAAGGAAAAGCTTAAAGCAACAAAGCTGGACCTCTCTGATTTTCTCTGTTCCAGTTCAACTGCAACCTGGCGTGTTGTTCTCTCCTTGAAAGTAGAAAGTAGGCTTTAGTGTTGGTAGTTTTCCTTCTGTTGTTATGTCTTGTGTTTTCGACTGTCTCCTGGTAGTGGCTAAAAGGGGTAGAGGCTACAGGTAGAGTTGGTGGGAAAAGCAGGTGCTGCTCATGTGCTGCGAAAGCTCAGCTTCATCTCTTCCACTTCAGAGCCTTCCTGTTTTAAAGCTGATGAGATGCTTCTCGGAGCTAGGAGTGCAGATCTTGTAAACAGCAGCAGGTTATTCAGAGTTCAGCAGAAGAACGTGCCAAGGAAGGAGTTGGTAAACTAGTTGGAAACTGTTGGTAGAGCCTTGTGCTGAGCTCACTGGAGGGGTATTTTCCTGCAGGGTGGAACCACCGTAGCTGTGTGTGCCTTCCCTCAGCTGGCAGCCACCTGTGTTTGCCAGGACTGGTGGCCATATGGAAAACAAAAAGCCCCCTTTACCATGAGTTGGGAAGCTGTCAAAGAAGCTGTATTTCGTAAGATTTTGAGCCTGGGCTGAAACTCTTGGAAGAATTTGTGGTGAAGTGCAAAGGAATAATTTGGCGTGGGAAAGGCACTGGAAATCCCTGATCAGATTTTTGCTGGAGATTTGTTTGGGTTTTTTGTTGGGGTTGGGTTTTTTTGAGAGCTTGGGGAAGTTTCATCTCCATGTCTGCAAGGGGAAATTTCATGGCTACTTTCTGCTACTGGATCAGCTCCGACAGCAGTGGAAGTAGTTGGATCTTTGGCATATATATATATGCTGGCTGTCAGCTCAGTCACTGTCACTTCTCTAATGCCAACACTCTTGCATAATGTCCATTAAAATACTGGGAACTTCTGGCGATTTGCTGTATCCCAGTGCTCCCAGTAGGAGGGACAGAAGCTGATTTTGCAAAGCATCTTCATGGTGTGGGCCCATTTGCGAAATATTTGCCACCTTGCAGCGCAGTGAAATGGGAGGAGAGGTTTATAAAGCCTTTTGGTAGGCAGAAGAGCCTCCCAAATCTGTGTGGTCAGGCTGTTAATTGTCATTTTCCCCCAGATCTCTGTGTATTTTAATGTTACAATATATCTGTAAATATTGAATATGAAGATTGTTCCATGTGGTGTAATCATGGTGAGAGCCTGGCCCAGATTGCCCAGAGAAGCTGTGGCTGCCCCATCCCTGGAGGGGTTCAAGGGCAGGTTGGTGGGGGCTTGGAGCAACCTGGGCTGGTGGGAGGTGTCCCTGCCCAGGGCAGGGGGTGGGACTCAATGATCTTTAAGGTCCCTTCCAACCCAAACCATTCTGTGAGTCTATATCAGAGAGTTTTAGCCTTTTGTAAAGTGTGGAGTTGGAAACTTGCCCTCTTGCTTCGCCTTGTAGCTGTGACCTGTCTGCTTGTGTGGAGAGGAGAATGCTGGGCTGTGCTCAGGTTGTCCCTGGGAAGGGACATGGCTCTAAAGCCATCCCAGATCTTGGACACGTGACAATGGGCAACTGGTGCTGGGTTTTTGCTGGATTTGTGGAAATGCAGGTAGTGTTTCTTGAGGTGGCGGTCGGTGGTGTGAGCGGTCTGTCCAGTCACAGCTTTTAAAGCTTGGGAACCCGTCAGTCTCATTGGGGTTTGACTGTGGACAGTGTAAGGTGCTGCAGTAGTTGTCCGATCTCTTGGTAGCGGGTGTCTCAGGATTCAAGGGGCCTTTCCTAAGTAGGACAGAAATAAAAATGAGCCCTCTTCCCCAAGGTCCTTCATGGTCCTCAGGAATATTGTTTAGTGATTTTTATTTCTTATTTATTTTTTTGTCAGAGTTAGGCTGATGGTTGGACTAGATGATCTTTAAGGTCCCTTCCAACCTAGACGATTTTATGATTCTAAGACTAAAAAGTGGTTACAAAAAAAAAGGCATGTTGCCAATTGCAGATGATTATAACGCAGCTGCTCGATGGTGACATACCAG